GAGTAACTAGAATTACAGGAATGAGCCACTGGCACCTGGCTTTCTTTTTTTTTTTCCAGTCACAGGGCCTGAACTGTGGGCCTGGGCGCTGTCCCTCAGCTCTTCAACTCAAGGCTAGCGCTCTACCACTTGAGCCCACAGCGCCACTTCTGGCTTTTTCTGCTTATATGGTGCTGAGAAATCGAACCCAGGGCCTCATGCATATTTCTCTTAATTTTTATCCTCTGTTATAGAGGTTAATTATTTATCATGATAGTTAATCTTTTATTTTTTTTTAATGGAGCTTGAACTCAGGACCCGGGCACTATCTGGGATCTTTTCACTCAAGACTACTGCTCTACCACTTTGAGCCACAGTGCCAAATTCGTTTTCTGGTGTTCATTTGGAGATAAGAGTCTCACAAACTTTTCTGCCTGGGCTGGCTTCAAACCATAACCTTCAGATCTCAGCCTCCTAAGTAGCTAGGATTGCAGGCATGAGCCACTGGAGCCTGGTTATATATATAAATTCCCCCCCCCCCCCCCCGTTGTGGGGATTGAACTCAGGGCCTGGTGCTGTCCCTGAGATCAAGACTAGTGCTTTACACTTGAACCATAGCACTACTTCCTAATATTTAAAAAAAAAAAAAAAGCAGTACTAGGGTTGAACTCAGGGCCTAATGCTTGCTAGACAGGCACTCTGTCATTTGAGTTACATTTCCAGCCCTTTTTGTTCTATTTTTCAGTAGGACCTGATTTATTCATGGATTTCCTTGATAACCACACTGGGTTACAGTTTCTTCAAAAGAACACCAAGGCCTGTCTTTGCCTATACATCCAAAGTATTTGGGAGAGAATCATTCATACAAAACTCACTGAAGCCAGGCGCTGGTAGCTCACGCCTGTAATCCTAGCTACTCAAGAGGCTGAGATCTGAGGATCGAGGTTCAAAGCTAGCCCGGGCAGGAAAGTCCGTGAGACTCTTATCTCCAATAAACTACCAGAAAACTGGAAGTGGCATTATAGCCCAAGTTGTAGAGAGCTAGCCCTGAGCTGAAGAGCTGAGGGACAGCACTCAGGCCCAGAGTTCAAGCTCTATCACCCAATGACAACTCAGCCCAAGGTAAAATAGAAGCACCAATTAGGAGGTGAAGGACTAGTCAATCAGATTTCAGCTGAAAAGTGGTCCAAGCATAAGAAACAGAGCAGACACCAGAGACTTCTCATTGCTGTAATATAACGCTCTTTGTCACTTTTTTTTCTTGAGACAGGGGGCTAGCTTCAAACTAACCATGTGGTCTAGGCTGTCCCTGCACCCAAAATCCTCCTGCCTTAAACTTGTAGGTGTGTGTCAACTTGATGGTTAGGCAACTCCTTTTTTTTTTTTTTTTTTTTTCGGTCTTGGGGCTTGAACTCTGGGCCTGGGCGCTGTCCTTCAGCTCTTCAGCTCAAGGCGAGCGCTCTACCACTTGAGCTACAGTGCCACTTTCGGTTTTCTGGTGGTTTATTGGAGATAGGAGTCTCACGGTCTCTCCTGCCCGGGCTGGCTTTGAACCGAGATCCTCAGATCTCAGCCTCCTGAGTAGCGCCCGGCTAGGCAACTCCTTATGGTCACACCATCTGCTAAACCTATCCTGATCTTTGTGTGGGCCAGTCATGGGGCTTGGATTCAGGCCTGGACATTACTCCTCAGCTTTTGTGCTCAAGGCTAGTGCTCTACCAATTGAGCCACAGCTCTACATCCGGCTTTCCGGTGGTTAACTGGAGATAAGAGTCACACAAACATTCCTGCCCAGGTTGACTTTGAACCTTGATCCTCAGAACTCAGCCTCCTGAGCAGCTGGGATTACAGGTGTGAACCACTGATGCCTGGCATATCCTGATCTTCTGACTCTACACCTATGTTTCAGTGATGTTAGCATTGCTCAGGGGTTACATAAAAGCTTTAAAGCAACCTGGACCAAGCTAGGAAACAGATCTGTGATTGTTTTTCAAAAGTCCCAGCAGTTCAGGCATAGCAGGCATGTGGCAGGAACAGAAGGAAACTTGTTACCAGCCCGTGAGAAATTGGTCCTGGGTCTAATCCCACAGCCTGTCCTACTCCATTCTCACTTGTCATTCTCACTTATGACTAATGAAGTAGCCTCTTCAACTGGCTGTAAAAAAACTCAGTGCTATGAGGTTACCCACCTGAAGAAAGATCTAGATCTTGCTGTGTGGGATGGTAGATGCTGGGTAAGAGCTTGGCCCTCATGTTTCCAGTCATTCCTTCTATTACAAAAATTCCAAATACAGCCACCATTGTTGTTTATACAATGCATTTCTGATATCTAGAATTCCTAGTATTGTTTCCTATTACTACAGATATAATAAAAAGGATTAGGATCATAATTATATAAATACTTTTGGAATTTCTAGATTTTTTTTGTCCAATCCGTATGTTTATAAATCCAATAAAATTAAAGAGAATAACTTTTTTCCAGCTTACTCACAATGAAACAAAAGCAGTAACAAAATTAGGAACAGTCAACCAAATTTTAGGACCCTGAATTTTTAAAACATTCTAATCTTAATTTGGCCTGCTACTAAAAATCAAATGAATCTATTAAATTGCAAGAAAGCATTTTCCTAAAAGCTGAAAAATACAGGTGTGAAGACACATCAGATTCTCAGCAACTGAGTCATGCCGTACCAAGCTACAGCACTGTTGTTGGTTTTGCTTGCTAATGATATAATATTCAAACAGCAAGACAGAGGAATGAAAAGATTCCAACAGAGGGTTTGAAGAATAAAACCAGGCAGGAAGCAGTCTCTAGGTATTGGAAAGTATAGTATTTTTGACTACTTGAGGAAATGTAAGTTTTCTGGTTTCTGGAGAAAGAAGAAACAAGTCCTTTGTATCTTAGTAAGAAGGACAAAGCTTTTTTTCTATACACGTAGTCAAGGTGACAAAGGGCTAGCCTTGTTTGAGCAGCCTGCACCATACTTCACATTCCTGTTAACCCAAGGCAAAGATTACAAACAGATCCCTGCCTGCTCCAAGTCCATCTTGAAGTTCGTGTTTGGCTATCACCTCACCTCCCCACACCTGGAGACCTGTCACAGCATCAACAAGCCCAGACAATAATTTGTTCCTCCACCCAAATTATCTTCCTAATGTTCAAACGCAGCAAACAATACATTTGAAAACTGGGTCAATTCCTCAAGGCAATTACATCCCTTGAGAACACACTCCCTAAAAGTGTCTGGATTCCATGTCGGGTAGGAGGAAGAATCACTTAGCTAAAAAACGAAAACAACTTAGGACCACTTTAATCCCATAATTTAGGAGGTAGAGGCAGGAGTTCAAAGCCAGTTTAGACTTCTTAATGAGAACCTGTCTATGGGCAGAAGGAATCCTTCGGTGGGGAGTAACTCAATCTGGGTGATCAAGAAAAAATTACCGTTATTATTTTTTTGTGATAGTATCTATGTACCCCAAGGTGGCTTCTAACTTCCAATTTTACTATCTCAGCCTTCTCAATGCTGGGACTACAAGTATACACTACCATGGATAGCTCTAAGAAATAATTATCCTTTTGCCTAATAAGTTCAACTTTCACAGCCAAGCTTTTCCTACTTTTCTCTAGGGCTTGGGTGCTGTCTCTAAGCTTTTTTACTCAAGGCTAGTGCTCTACCACTTTGAGCCACAGCTCCACGTCCAGTTTTCTAGTGGTTAATTGAAGATAAGTCACATGGACTTTCCTGCTTGGGATGGCTTGGAATGGGATCCTCAAATCTCAGCCTCCTGAGTAGCTAAGATTATAGACATAAGCCACCAGCCCAGCTTCCTGTTCATTTTAATGTACATTTTGTCTATGTGATTCTACCTCTACTTTAGGAAGGTGCTCAAGGGTAATCTCCTTTCTGCAGTCTTTAAATTCCCTCCAAATGAATATAAGCCAGTGGTCCTGGGAATCTGAAGGCAGTTCTTGCTAAGTGATTCTCTCTCCCATTCTCGTACCATCCTTAAAGGGCCCAGTCACAGCCCTCCACATGGCCACCTGCTGGACAGAGTAGGAACTGAGGGGATCGCTCTGTCTTCCCACTGACATCCTTAATGGTAGTTTCTTTGTTTTGTGCCAGTACTAGCGTTTGAACTCAGGGCCTGGTCACTGTAACTTAGCCTTTTGCTAAAGAATAATGGTCTAGCACTTGAGCCATAGCGCCACCGATTCTGGCTTTTTGCTTGTTAATTAGAGATAAAAGTCTCATTGACTTTCGTGCCTGAGCTGGCTTCAAACTTCAAGCCTTAGATCTCAGCCTCCTGAGTAGCTATTATTTTTGTACAAAGGCTAGCTGCTCGCCATTCATTTTTTTTTCCAAATAATTATTTTTAAGGTTGAAATGAACCAAAATGAACCCAGACTTGCAATTTCTTACGCTTCCTATGCTAGCGTTAATTTTTATAACCATATAATTTTCCCCCAATCTTTAGGTGATAATTTAACTGAGTCACTTTTTTTGCATGCAAAGCCTTAAATTATATATATATATATGAAAACTAATTTATTAAACCTCTGTACACAAAGATGAACATACCTGTAGAGTAAGCTGACTTGAAGAATGAAGTTACAAAAACGTGTTATTAAAACTGACACATAAATCTTACAAAAATACCTTACATGGGATAAAGCTGCTCACCCCTGATTTGTTCTCATTTGGTTGGAGCTGAAATGTGAATTTAAAATGGTTAGAATTGTTTCTTTTAAAAACTGATATATTAAACTTCTATACAGGATCATTAGCAAAATGTAGAAAGGGAAAACAATGTACAAAAGACAGATAAAAAACATCATTCTTGACAGACACAATCCCCAAGTCTTATAAAGGACAACAAAGTATCGCTAAAGCATCTCCTATGGACAACCCCCAGGGTAGAGCTCAGCCAGGATAAAACACAGCAATCCAGAGTGAGCTCTGTCTTTTCTTCTTTAAAAAAAAAAAGAGGCTTCACTGGAGACCACAATCAAGCCTTGGATAGATTCTTGAAGATGGGAGGGACAAATAGGAAACCAATTTTATCTGTCCACTTAATACTAAATAATAGCATACAAAGCTGTAGATCATTTCAGAGCTCTCACTGCTATGGCAGGCAGTTACTCAGAAGCCTTTTTGTTTTTCTGCTGATTCCGGGGGGAGTTCTTTAACAAGCTTCTTATCCTGAGGTACATTCCAGTAGATTCTGCCATATTTTCAAATTCAAACGGTGTTATTCCAGTTGCAAACTTGCTCATGTCAGGTACAGGGCTGTGAGTTTTTGCAGGATGTGGGTTCCTGTGCAGGAGCTTCTGGCTGCCTCCGTTCCTCATGTCACAGTCTGACCTGACACTGCCGTTACCGAGAAGGGCACCGCTGGAGTCGGTGTCCGCAGATTCTTCTTCCTTCTCACAGCTGGCGTCCACAGATTCTTCCCCTTCCTTCTGACAAAGTAGCATGGCCTCAGAAACTGGGCTTGGGGGATGCTCAACCTCGGCTGTCTTTGTAGAGGAGTCAGGTCCCTGGGGTTCGTCCAGCACTGGCTTCACAGAGGCATTACCCTCAGGGGCAGCAAGGTCCAGCTCATTTGGAGCAGGTGATGAGGCCACTGAATTCCCAGTTAAAGGTGTGTCCACAGGAATATCCGAATCGCTATTGATGCTGTCCGCCTGCTCCAGAGCTGCCCAGATCCGCCTCTGCTGCTCTTCAAGTTCTTCCAGTGTCAGGGCGTCCTCATCCATGGCTGCAGACGCGGGCCGGGTCTGGGGCGAGTCACTGGGAGTCAGTGGTGGGGTGCCCTTGGGGAGTGGAGGTGTGAAGACAGGAGGCGTGCCAGGAGGCAATGGTGGCTGAAACCGAAAAGCTTCACTGCTCTGAGAACCATGTGGCATCTCCATATCTAGAATGAGAAAGTTGAAGAAATAATTTAGGTACCATAGCATCTGGCTTCACAAAAAAATCTTTGAACTTGGATATCCACAGATTCAATGGCCAAAAAGAGAGGGGAAAAATGGTTGCTTTCTGATGCCACAACCATGATGTGATGTCCTCAGGCTCCTGGGAAGATTGTGGGCAGGGACAGCACAGCACAGGAGCTTCTGTGCCGGGAATGTGATGAAAGCCTTGGTCAGCTACAGCCATGCTATGTTCAGGGTTTCAGACTGACATGTGATCACCACTTAGAGCACAGTTCTGTCTGGTGGGGATGCTGGGTGAACATAGGAGAAACTGGCTGGTGCCCAAGTTGGGAAAGAGGCTGAAGGAGAGGTGGCAGGAACATACCCTGAGGTCTTTCCCAATCTGTATCTCTGGTCATCTCCCACATGGGCCCCTCCAGCACATGTCTACAACCAAGTGTCTGTTCCTGAAAATCTGGACTTTTATCGTATTTCTGTTAGGACTTCACCCAGCACAGCTGCTCAGGCTTTCCTTTGTGCCAGCACTAGTCTGTACTCAGCTTGCTGCCAGCAGTTAAAGCTGTGTCCACAGGAAGAGCAGAGTCCTAAATCTTAGGTAATCACAAACACTGGCCTGCTAAATGTACAAGCAGGAGCCCACCAGGAAGAGGAATTAAGTGGACTGCAGAGGAGAGCATGAAGACAATCATTTCTTATGCAATCAGTATACTTGCTTTTCTGTTTTGTTTGGTCTAAGGTCTTCCTATACAGCCCAGGTTGGCTTAGAACTCGTGATCCTCCTGCTGCCATCCCTCAAGAACTGACATTACATGCGTGAATCATGATACATGCCCAGACTATATCTGCTTTTCTCCCCCTAGTACTGGGGTTTGAACTCAGGACTTTGTGGTCACTTGGGCTTTGTTGCTCAGTGCTCTACCACTTGACTTTTGTCTCCGGCCTGGTTTACTGCTGGTTATTTTGGAGGCTTATGGACTTTTCTGCCCATGCTGGTTTTGAACCAAGATCTTCCATATCTCAATCTCCTAAGTGGCTAGGATTACAGTGACACAGAGGTAGACATCTGGAAGATCTGGGTAAAAAGTTCACAAGATCGGGCTGGGAAGGTAGCTCAGTGGTAGAGTGCTTGCCTTGCATGCATGAGGCCCTGGGTTCGATTCCTCAGCACCACATAAGCAAAAAGAAAAAAAGCTGGAAGTGGCACTGTGGCTCAAGTGGTAGAGTGCTAGCCTTGAGCTGAAGAGCTGAGGGACAGCACCCAGGCCCAGAGTTCAGGCCCCACGAATGGACCCCCCCCAAAAAAAAAAAAAGAAATAAAAAAACTTAAAAAAAAAAAAGTTCACAAGATCCCCTCACGCATATAATCCTAGCTACTCAGGAGGCTGAGATCTGAGGATCGAGGTTCAAAGCCAGCCTGAGCAGGAAAGGCCGTGAAACTCTTATCTCCAATAAACCACTAGAAAACCGGAAGTGGCACTGTGGTTCACGCGGTAGAGCGCTTGCTTTGAGCTGAAAAGCGCAAGGACAACGCCCAAGCCCAGAGTTCAAGTCCCACGACCAACCAAAAAAAAAAAAAAAAAAGTTCACAAGATCCCTATCTCAACCAATAGGTAAGTAAAGTGGCACACACCTGTCATCCAAGCTATGTGGGAGGCTGAGAATGGAAGGAAGTGGTTCCAGGTCAGTCCAGGCAGAAAATTTACCAAGACTGCATATTAACAGAGAAAGCTGAGTGTGATGGTGTGTACTTGTCATCCCAGCTACAGTGAGAACCACAGACAGGAGGAAAGCCTGGACAAAGAGCAAGATGCTATCTCAAAACTAACAAGAGCTGGGCTGGGAAGGTGGCTCCGTGGTAGAGTGCTTGCCTTGCATGCATGAGGCCCTGGGTTTGATTCCTCAGCACCACATAAGCAGGAAAAAGAAGTGGTGCTGTGGCTTAAGTGGTAGGGCACTAGCCTAGAGCTGAGGGACAGCACCCAGTCCCACAGTTCAGCCTCCAGGACCGACCAAAAAAAAAAGAGCTGGGGCTGGGAAGGTGGCTCGGTGGTAGAGTGCTTGCCTTGCATGCATGAGGTCCAGGGTTCCATTCCTCAGCACTACATAAGCAGAAAAAGCCAGAAGTGGCACTGTGGCTCAAGTGGTAGAGTGTTAGCCTTGAGCAAAAGAAGCTCAGGGACAGTGCCCAGACCCTGAGTTCAGGGTCTGGCAAAAATAAATAAATAATAATGAGCATAAAGGAACAGAGCTCAAGTGACAAGAGTGCCTAGCAAGCATGAAGCCCTGAGTTCAAATCCCATTTCACAAACAAAAAGCAAAACCCAGAAGTATCCAAACAGCTTAAAGCCAAGTTTCATTTAAAGAAAACATCACAATAAACATTAGAGTGATACAATAAACAAGGAAAAGGTATTTGGGTAGCTGTAAATTCATCTCACTTACAACAAAAATCATGCTTCTAGTGAAAATTTCTACCAGAAAGTGACAATTAGGCTGCACCCACCCATGGGGCTGTGCCCCACAGGGCAGGAAGAAGTGGGAGGGGAGCTGTGCTGGTTCATGAAAATTTCCAGCAGCAGAAGTGACAATTAGGCCAACTCAGTGTCTGGGTGGTGATGATGCTCTCTCACTCTGAAAACGGGAGCTTTGCCCTTCCTATGGATTCAAGAGCACACAGATGCATCTTGCCTTCTCAATGAGATCTAACGCAGAGAGACCTACCTGAGTCGAGATCCATATCAGCAGGGGAAGCCGCCAAGCTGCCTTCCTTCCTCTGCTTCTTGGGACTACTAGGGCTGGACTGAGACGAGGATCGCTTACTGCTAGACCTCATGCTTGGCTAAAGGAGTGACCAAACCCAAAACAAGTTATATAGAGCACACAGATAAATTCCAGCCTAAATCTAAATATGCTTAGCTTGCCTAGCATGTGAGAAGCCCTGGGTTTGATCCGTTGTACTCAAGAAAAAAAAAAACAACTATGATGTATAAAACAAGTCTGGACCCCAACCCTAGGTACCTATTGAGTTCACTATTAATCTTTTGTTCATCTTCATTTAAAAGACAAAGCAAGAAGGGGCAATAAAATGCTAATGACCTATAAAATCCCTAGGTATATGCCACAAGCCTTTAACACCACATTCTAAAAATCTATTTACCGATTGGAAGTTAGAAGTAAGGTAATTGGCAAATACATCCTTCTGTTGACATGCCTGCATTGGTATGGAACCAAATATCCTCCATTCCTAATGACAAAAGAGAAGGAAAAGTATGTATGTGGAACATCATCTTTTATTTTTTTTTTGCCAGTCGTGGGGCCTAAATTCTGGGCCTGGGCGCTGTCCCTCAGCTCTTCAGCTCAAGGCTAGCGCTCTACCACTTGAGCCGCAGCGCCACTTCCGGCTTTTTCTACTTATATGCTGCTGAAGAATCAAACCCAGGGCCTCATGCATGCAAGGCAAGCACTATACCACTGAGCCACCTTCCCAGCCCCTCATCTTTTGTATTTTTCCCAGAGGAGGTGAATTGGAGATTTCAGATTGCATTTTTTTTCTTTTTCTTTTTTTTGGCAGTCGTGGAGCTTGAACTCTGGGCCTGGGTACTTACCCTGCGCTCTTCAGCTTAAGGTGAGTGCTCTACCACTTGAGCCACAGCACCACTTCTGGTTTTCTAGTGGTTTATTGGAGATAAGAGTATCACGAACTTTCCTGCCCTGGCTGGCTTTGAACCTCCATCCTAAGATCTCAGCCTCCTGAGTAGCTAGGATGACAGGTGTGAGCCACCAGCACCTTGCTCTACTTTTTTTTGTTGGTTGTGGGCCTTGAACTCAGGGCCTGAGCACTGTCCCAAAGACTCTTTGTGCTCAAGGCTACGCTCTACCACTTGAGCCACAGCACCACTTCCAGTTTTTGAGTGGTTAATTGGAGATATGAATCTCACTGGAGCTTTTCTGCCCGGGCTAGCTTTGAACTACGATCCTCATATCTTAGTCTCCTGAGTAGCTAGGATTACAGGCATGAGCCACTGGTCTCTGGCACATTTCTACTTCGTAAGCACCTTTTCCTTTAAGGAAAGAGTGGGACATGGACTTTGGCTGGACTTCCCTGGCACTATTCTCTACCACCATGTGCCATACTGCTTTCCTAACATGCTTCCACTGACTTTCTCATCCTTGTTCTTTCCCTTTCCAGAGTACAATAATATAAGGTTCAGGGTTTAAGTCAAAACCCCAAACTACGATTGGGACTTGACGGTGTCCATTTGCATTTCTAGATCATACCTTGGGAATGCTGACAAAGACTATAATTGGACCCATTTCCAGAAACACTGATGGTTTCTATCATGCAGTTTGGCCCTTAGTGAATTATACACTGTGGTAAGTGAAGTTCAAGTTAGTTATCTATTGACTAGACTCTGTGTGTGTGGGTGCGCGCCTGTGTGCACGACACACACACTCAAGCTGAGATATATAGCTTCTTCCATATAGCTCCTAAAAAACTAGGAATATAGCTTTTATTAAAACAACAAAACAGTTGACTGGAATTTTTTTTTTTGTGCTAGTCCTGGGTTTGAACTCAGGACCTGGGTATTGTCCTTGAGCTTCTGTGCACAAGGCTAGTGCTCTACCACTTGAGTCACTGCTCCACTTCTGGCTTTTTTTGGGTCCGATCGTGGGGCCTGAACTCTGGGCCTGGGCACTGTCCCTCAGCTCTTCAGCTCAAGGCTAGCGCTCTACCACTTGAGCCACAGCATCACTTCCGGCTTTTTTTTTCTTTTTGCTTATGTGGTGCTGAGGAATCAAACCCAGGGCCTCATGCATGCAAGGCAAGCGCTCTACAACTGAGCCACCTTCCCAGCCCCAATTTCTGGCTTTTTTTGATGGTTAACTGGAGATCAGTCTCACAGTGTTTCCTGCCCAGGTTGGCTTTGATCTGCAATCCTCAGATCTTAGATTCCTGAGTAGCTAGGATTATAGGCATGAATCACCAGCACCCAGCTTAACTCCTAAATTTGAAAATTTAAGATTAAAAAATATACAAAATGAGAAATTTACAGAAAAAGATAAGGAACAGCCAAAAGAGACAGGTTTATTATATACGGAAATTTACTTCCCAACTATCTATAGAACTTAATACTGCCTCAGAATCATCTCTTCGCACAAATTTACTTTTACATATAACTATTATGTAAGCTGTTGAGTAATCATTATAACATCACATTTCAGAAAAAAAAACCTGGGACAACAAAAAATATACTTACATCTGGAATTCCTCTGGGAGTAGATATATTAAAACCTGGATAGTTTACCAATTTTGAGAGATCGTAAGTGACACTTTTATTCTGCTGCACTTCTCCAGCTTCTGTTTCTCCATCAGCATCATCTATTAGAAACCATCAACACTATTAATACTGGGCTAGAGCTCAGATAAGCAACCTGGCCTAGCAAGCACAAGATCCTGAGAAACAATCTCCTTGTATGCATCATTTCTTTCTAGGGTAGAGAGCTAGGATAGGAACTCTGGAGCAGTGACTGTCTCCTGGCATTATAGATCTACCTCCATTTCCATTCCTGGGAAAGTTAAGAGCTCCAAGGACTAGCTGGAGAGTTCATACTCTGGCCTCGCTGGTCTCTGAGCAAGTCCAGCCATCTATCTGATCATTCTTTGCTGAGACAAGGTCTTGTTAGTAGCCAAAGTTGGCCTAGAATTAGTGATCCTGCCTTGGCTTTCCAAAAGCGCTGAGATTATATAACATTCGTCCCGGGGCTGGGAAGGTGGCTCAGTGGTAGAGCGCTTGCCTTGCATGCCTGAGGCCCTGGGTTCCATTCCCCAGCACCACATAAGCAAAAAGAAAAAAGCCGGAAGTGGCGCTGTGGCTCAAGTGGTAGAGCGCTGGCCTTGAGCTGAAGAGCTGAGGAACAGTGCCCAGGCCCAGAGTTCAGGCCCCACGACCGGACCCCAAAAAAAAAAAAAAAAAATTCTTCCCTAATCTGGTTTACCCATCTGATAGTCTATGAACCACTGAGGACTTAGTAAATGTCAAATAAAATCAATATAATAATTTTTTGGGGGGTGTGTGTGCCTTTTTTTAGTTAACTAAACACACATTAACCAGGCAGCCAGTCCTGTCACATTTTGTTGTGATCCTTTGAAGCTTGCTTACCTAACCTAACTGACATACTATACCTTTGCCATCATAGAGTGCAAGCCCTGAATTCTCCAGTTCGGCCTCTTTGAGCCATCCAGGTGGGTATCCGAGCTGGCGCATCCGATAGATAAATGGAGGAAGACTCTTGTCTGTCACACCTAGTGCATCTTGAAGCTCCTCACTAAGTACAAATTAAAAGTTATATTTGCACAAAAGCATCTAAACTTCTGGTATTTTGAAACATTTCAGTCCTATACTACATAGCATGGAGTATGGTGCCTAACCAATGTGTAATTAAGGTTTCAGTAACAATATTTGAATGAATTGATGTAATGTGGACCTTGGTAGGACACACTTACATCCTGATAATTATCCTGAAGAGATATGTCCTAATGCTAAGAAAAACTAGAAGGATATCCTAGCAAGGCGCCAGTGGCTCATGCCTGTAATCCTAGCTACTTAGGAGTTGGAGATCTGAGGATCATGATTCAAAGCCATACTGGGCAGGAAAGTCTGTGAAACTCTTATTAAGTACCAAAAAGCTAGACATAAGCTGTGGTTCAAGTGACAGAATATGAGCTTTGAGCACAAAAGCTCACCCAGGCCCAGAGTTCAAGCCCCAAGACCAGAAAAATAACAAACAAACCCAAAACCAATATCCCATGGGAAAATGAGCAGTACCTAATAACTCCTGGTTTGAATCTTCCAAATCTTTCTTCCACTTCTTCTGCATGGTATCGCTGCTGAAAATTCTGATTATTTGTCTCTCCACAGGCATCCATGTATTCTTTTCTCTTTTCACTTATTCGAGCAGCATTTCGAGGCTAAGTCACAATGATGTGTGAAAAGAATGGTATCAAGCAATTGAGAAAGATTTCAGAAATTAAGTTACTTTTCTCAGGTAAAACATTCTTTTAGTTTTCATGCACAAAATAAGCATGAAAGAGAGTAGTTTTGAAGAGGAAAAAGTAATTTAAATCTAATGTCTTAAAACATAAACTTAAAAATATTTCAAATATGTAAAGTACAACATAAAGTCACACAGGAAGGTTTTTGCATCCCAGAATGCTATAAATGTATAAAACAGATCAACAAGCACTGTTCAAAGACATTGTTTTATGTGAGAAAAATTTACCATTGGGCAATCTTTCATTTGATGCTCTTCTGAACCACAATTGAAACAGTGAGGTTTTGGCCTATTTGGTCAGAAAAAGAGATTTTCTTAATGTAAATGTAAACATAAAAGTGAATCAAAACAATTCTAGAGGACAGCAAAACATCAGAGATAAGAAAGCAAGTGGCTCCCAGATCACCATAATCTGCAGCAATGAATACACTGGCTCTTGGACTCAGTTATTTAAACATCAGCACTATGTAGTCTTATAACCAAGAATCATTCTGTTCCTTACACATCTGTTGCCTCTTGAGATTTTTTTTTTTTTGGTGGTGAATAATAGAAGAAAAAGCAAACATTATCATGTTTCCTTTAGTTAACATGGAAAGAAGGTAGTTGGTTGTAAGACGGCAATCATTGATAGCAATTTCTCTCCACCCTCCCAGGAATATTAAGCATGAACCAATGAATTCCAAGGAACAGATAATCAACTTAAGCATATAATATGTTGAGATGTTAGAATTCTAGCTCAAGCTGCAATTTATAATAAAACCAGCAATAAAGAATATTAACTTTTCAAGTCAAAAAAGTTGGTGTTTTGGATACTGAAAAAAAGAATAAAGTGACTCCCCACAAACCTTTTTGCCTTTACTTGTATTTCTTGCCCTTCTAGAGAAACAATGTGGCTGAAGACTTGCTGGTACCTTTAGTGAATTTTATTAAGGAATAGTTATCATGCTCTGCAAAATTTGGTAAACTTTTTAAAAGGTAAACTTTAGTGGCAAGATGCATAAAAGATCTTCATTCACTATGTAGGATACTTGGGTATTTCCCATCCTTCGGTAAGCTGAGGATTTTCATTTAGTAGCGGTTGCCCCAATTTATCAAGGCAAAAATTAGTAAAATACAGGACACTTCCTACAACCTGCAGAAAACAAGTCAAAAAATATTTCTATTTAAGCAGAAAAAAAAAGACATTAAGAATGTAAGACTAAGATTACCTGCTTTAAATAATTTACTTTGAGTGAAGTTATTGGAAACAACTCCTTAGTTACAGGAGCCAGATTTTGAGTGTGAGTAGAAAGTACAGCTGAACTTTTCCTCTTTATTGGATCATTGTTCTCAAGTGTACTCTTTCAAACAAACAAACAAACACACACACAAAAAAAAACAAAACCTTAACTCCCATGTATCATTCCAGTGTCCATTCCTTTGCAGCAAGACCACCTCAGGTCCTGTATTTATTGTTTCCATTTCTATTGTTTCCATTCACTCTTTTCCAAATTTTGGGAGACTTTCATATAGACAATATATGAATACTCATGCACCCTTCACTTGGATCTAGCAATTATTTACTAATAAGTTGACATTTTCTAAGCATGCTTCCCTACGCACATGCACACACTTAGCCAACTAGAAGTTAGTTGTAGATATTGTGACACTTCATCTCTAAATGCTTCAGGATGAGTCTTCTAAGAGTTAGAATCTTCTACAAACATGATACCATGGTTACACATAAACTCATTCACTTACCACTTGTCACATTTTCTTATCTTTAAGTAGTTGTACAAAAGAGTTGCCATTCAACAAAGCAATTTATGAAAACAGTGTATCCTGATCAATGTCATTCCTTTTCAAAATTCTCACCCACCCCTCCCAATCCACTGTCCCTCACTTAATTTTTATGTACTGAATTTTTTTCTTTTTTCCATTTAACAAGGCAATTTGATCTGTGTCATCCCTTCAATATCCTCATTGTCATATTTCTATTTTAAAACCCTCAAATAGCTTCTCAACTTCTTTGGAGTTAATCCAAATCATTACAGCCTATAAGGCTACGTTAGGATTTAGCTCCTTTGCGCTGAAATTCCAAGGCCTGGTGTGGAACCCTGCTTGTGCCACTTGCCCACTGGCAAGTCACGTGGCTTTCATGTTTCCCTCCCTGTAAAAGGGCAGAACAGCAAAAGCACCTCCATGAGTAACAGCCGAAAGGGAATATAACTCATAGATGAGTACCACAAAGCAACCTGACCACTGGTTTCTGCCTTTGAGGCTCTACTTCCTTTTTTTTTTCCCCCTTATGTTTGATGCTGGTCTTGGGGCTTGAACTCTGGGCATGGACGCTGTCCCTGAGCTTTTGTGCTCAATGCTAACACTCTACCACTTGAGCCACAATTCTACTTCAGGCTTTTTTGGCATTTAATTGAAAATGAAAGAGTGCCATGGGGCTGGGAATGTGACTTAGTGGTAGAGTGCTTACCTAGCATGCATGAAGCCCTGGGTTTGATTCCTCAGAACTACATAAACAAAAAAGCCAGAAGTAGTGCCGTGGCTCAAGTTAGCCTTGAGCAAAACGAAGCTAAGGGACAGTGCCCAAGTCCTGAGTTCAAGCCCCCAGAACAGGCAAAAGAAAAAAAAAGTCTCAGGTTGGCTTCAAACCATGATCCTCAGATCTCAGCTTGGATTACAGGTGTAAGCCACCAGTGCCTGGCTCCACTTCCTTTTTCTACTTCCAAAGTAGTCTTCAAGCAAACTACTGTCTTGTTCACTATTTCAATGCATTCAGGTCTTAGCTGAGAGGTTATCTCCAGCTATTCAATATACAAACCACCGACTCACACATAGTTCATCACTCATTTCCTACTTACTTATTCTTCTCTTGAGAGCACTGCCTTCTCCCATTAAAATGTAATTCCATGAGAGGTAGGACTCTGCCTTTTGTTTTTTTCATTGCCTAGAACCTAGGATAGTCCTTGGCAAAAAATACTTGTTTTAAGACTAAATTAATAGGGCTGGGAAGGTGGCTCAGTGGTAGAGTGCTTGCCTTGCATGCCTGAGGCCCTGGGTTCGATTCCTCAGCACCACATAAGCAAAAAGAAAAAGCCAGAAGTGGCGCTGTGGCTCAAGTGGTAGAGCGCTAGCCTTGAACTGAAGAGCTGAGGGACAGCGCCCAGGCCCAGAGTTCAGGCCCCACGACCGGACCCAAAAAAAAAAAAAAGACTAAATTAATAAATATACAAAATTCTCAATTTCTAAGCTTTAAATCCTAGAACCCTGGAACCCTGAAGTTGAAAAGTTATCTAGTTCAATTTAAATATATATAGATATAGATATATGTACTTTGAACTCAGGGCCTTGACTCTGTCCCTGAGCCTCTCTGTGCTCAAGGTTAGTGCTCTACCACTTGAGCCATACCGCCACGTCTGGCTTCTTCTGTTTATGTGGTGCTGAGGAATTGAACCCAGGGCTTCATGCATGCTAGGCAAGCACTCTACCACTACGCCACATTCCCAGTCCAGGAATTCTTCCCCCCGCCCGCCCCACCCCGTTGTAGAACCTGAACTCTGGGCCTGGGCGCTGTCCCTCAGCTCTTCAGAGCTCAAGGCTAGCGCTCTAACACTAGAGCCATAGCACCACTTCTGGCTTTTTCTTTTTTGTTTTTTGAGGGCGTCCGGTCGTGGGGCCTGAACTCTGGGCCTGGGTGCTGTCCCTCAGTTCTTCAGCTCAAGGCTAGCACTCTACCACTTGAGCCACAGCGCCACTTCGGCTTTTTTCTTTTTATGCTTATGTGGTGCTGAGGAATCAAACCCAGGGCCTCATGTATGTAAGGCAAGCACTCTACCACTGAGCCACCTTCCCAGCCCCTGCCCCTCTTCTGGCTTTTTCTGATTTATGTGGTGCTGAGGAATCAAACCTAGGGCCTCATGCAAGGCAAGCACTCTACCACTGAGCCACTTTCCCAGCCCAGGAATTCTTTTTAAGATGAGATGTACCACTTTGTTTTCCACATGTCAGACTTTTTTCCCCTGGTGGTGGGGATTGAACCCATGGCCTCATGCATGCTAGGCTAATGCCCGGCCACAGTATCACAGCCTAGCCTAGTTTTCTAAATAATTAGCTGAAAAATACCTTGTAATTTGATTCCCTGAGCATCTTTTGCTCAAGGATAGTTCTTTACCACTTGAGCCAGAGCTCCATTTCTGGCATTTTTGGTAGTTCATTGGATATAAGAGTCTCACAGACTTTCTTGCCTGGGTTGACTTCAAACTGATGTTCAGATCTCAGTGTCCTGAGTAGCCAGGATTATAGGTGCTAGCCATCAACACCTGGCTATACCACTTTTTTTGGGGGGAGCGGGAGGGGGGTTAGAGTCTTTGGGCTTACACTCAAGACCTGGGCACTGTCCCTGAGCTCTTTTGCTCAAGGCTAGCACACTATTACTTTAAGCCATAGCACCATTTCTGGTTTTCTGGTGGTTAACTAGAGACAAGAGTCTCAGACTTTCTTACCCAGACTGGCTCTGAACTCTGATCCTCAGATTACAGCTTCCTAAGCAGTTAGGATTACAGGTGTGAGCCACCAGTGCCTGTCTATATCACTTTTTTTTTTTGGGGGGGGGTCTGGTCATGGGGCCTGAATTCTGGGCCTGGGTGCTGTCCCTCAGCTCTTCAGCTCAAGGCTAGCGCTCTACCACTTGAACCACAGCGCCACTTCTGGCTTTTTTCTTTTTGCTTATGTGGTGCTGAAGAATAGAACCCAGGGCCTCAGGCATGCAAGGCAAGCGCTCTACCACTGAGCCACCTTCCCAGCCCTATATCACTTTTTAAAAAACATTTAAACTGCAAAAATCATACCACTAAGTTGTCTGGGTACTAATAAACTTGGCATTTTTTACCCCCCCACAGTTGAGTCTATCAACATTTAAAATTTCAGACTTGTCATTTATTCTATTATCCCCTTTCAGTTTCACCTATTTGTAAGTTTTATATCTTTAGTCAAGTTCTTGAAGATAAACACAGGAGGATGATTAGGGCAAAAACAAACTTCCAAAGAATGTCTATGGGGCTCCCAAGTTATGATACAATAGATACTAAAAAGTTAATGAGAATATTTGAAGGATGAAATCTACACTTTTTATTTTTGCCAGTCCTGTGGCTTGAACTCAGGGCCTGGGCACTATCCTTGAGCTTCTTTTGCTCAAGACTAGGACTCTACCACTTGAGCCACAGTGCCACTTCCAGCTTTTATTGTTTATGTGGTACTGAAGAATCAAACCAGGGCTTCATGCATACTGGGCAAGCACTCTACTGCTAATCCACATTCAGCCCAAAGACTACAATATAACAAAAGAACAAGCTGGGCGCCAGTGGCTCATGCCTATAATCCTAGCTACTCAGGAGCCACTTTCTTGCCCAGGTTGGCTTTGAACCTTGATCCTCAGATCTCAGCCAGACTGGGCAGGAAAGTCCGTGAGACTTTGATCTCCAATAAACCACTAGAAAACCTGAAGTGGCGCTGTGGCTCGCCTTGAGCTGAAGAGCGCAGGGACAGCACCCATGCCCAGAGTTCAAGCCCTACAACGAACCAAAACAACAACAACAACACTGTGATCATATGAAGACAAATAACTATAACCACTTTAAATGTCATCCAATGAACAAAAGATAGGAATTATTCATCTGCAGAACCCAAAATGTCCAAACTTACACTAAAAGCTTCCTTGTTGCTTTTAATAGTACAGGATTCTTCAACTTTATGGTCCTCTTCTAACATAATACTGGATGGCTAAGAAAAAGAGAAACATGTTACAAGGGAAACTTTAAATTTGCAACCTTAGGTATTTGAATGCACTTATTCTCCCCACCCTCCAACTTCTCTTTTAGTTACTCAATTTAAAAAAGATACATATGATAGGGTGGTACAGTAGCTCACATTTACAATTGTCACCTACTTGGGGGACATTGGGTAGACTATGATTTGAGACTAACCCAGGCAAAAAGTTAAGAGATCTGAGGATCATGGTTCAAAGCCAGTTCAGGAAGACAAGTCCACAGACTCTTACATCCAATTATATAGAAAAAAGCTGGAAGTGGAGGTGTAGCTCAAGTGGTAAAGTGCCATTTTAGTGGGAAAACTAAGCAAGAATGCAGGGCCATGACAGCGCCCAGGCCCAGAGTTCAGGCCCCACCACCGGATCCAAAAAAAAAAGACACACATTTGGGCTGGGAAAGTGGCTCAGTGGTAGAGCGCTTGCCTTGCATGCCTGGAAAAAAAAAAAAAAAAAGAATGCAGGGCCAGGGCTGGGAAGGTGGCTCAGTGGCAGAGTGCTTGCCTTGTATGCCTGAGGCCCTGAGTTCGATTCCTTAGCACCACATAAAGAAAAAACCCAGAAGTGGCACTGTGGCTCAAGTGGTAGAGCGTTAGCCTTGAGCTGAAGAGCTGAGGGACAGCACCCTGGCCCAGAGTTCAGGCCCCACGACCGGACCCCCCCAAAAAAAAAAAAAGAATGCAGGGCCATTGGGCTGGGAAGGTGGCTCAGTGGTAGAGTGCTTGCCTTGCATGCCTGAGGCCCTGGGTTCGATTCCTCAGCACCACATAAGCAAAAAAGAAAAAAGACGGAAGTGGTGCTGTGGCTTAAGTGGTAGAGTGCTAGCCAAGAGCTGAGGGACAGTGCCCAGGCCCAGAGTTCAGGCCCCATGACCACACCCCCCCCGCAAAAAAAAGAATGCAGAGCCAAGTTCAAGATTCAGTACCAGCACAACAGAACAGAACAGAACAAAACAAAGCTAAGTGGGTACATCAGTTAGACTTCAAAGAAGAAAAGCCAGTAGAAAGATGGGAGCTAACAGACATATCTTCACAAATATTCTGGTTTTCATTCAAGAAGTTCCCTGTAGCCTACCAGTTGGCTAAGAAAAGCATAACCTAATAATTTGAAAGTCTGTTAAACAGTGCACTGGTGGCTCATGCCTATATTCCTAGCTACTCAGGAGGCTGAGATCTGAGGATGGAGGTTCAAAGCCAGCCCAGGCAGGAAAGTCCGTGAGACTCTTATCTCCAGTAAACCACTAGAAAATTGGAAGTGGTGCTGTGGCTCAAGCAGTAGAGTGCTCGCCTTGAGCTGAAGAGAGCAGGGACAGTGCCCAAGCCCAGAATTCAACCAAAAAAAAAAAAGAAATACCTGAGGCAAAAGAGAAAAGGAAGTCTTTTCCACATCATTTTTTTGTTGTTCCTCAAATCTTTTTACTAAACTTGATACAAATTCCTCTATTTCTGGATGATATTGCCTGCATAAGAGGACAAAATAGACAGTAAGATCAGGACCTAGAGAAAACAAATAGATTACCTAATGCAGCTATGTCTCAATTTTGTTACTTTATTTTTCAAAGGTTTATTTAACCACTATCTCTTTGAACACTCAGGAACCTACTTCTTAGGGAAAAAATATACATTGTTGCCAAGTTTACAAAATGATTATCATAACAAGGTGCTTAACACTAAACAGTTGCCAGTTGTGTGAAGAATAAATGGGCACAGGTGGCTCACGCCTGTAGTCCTAGCTACTCAGGAGGGTGAGATCTGAGGATCATGGTTCAAAGCCAGCCCGTGCAGAAAAGTCCATGAGACTCTTATCTCCAATAAACCACTAGAAAGCTGTAAGAGGCACTGTGGCTCAAGAGGTAGAGTGCTTGCCTTGAGCTGAAGAGCACAGGGACAGTACCCAGGCTTAGAGTTCAAGCCCCATGACCGACCCTCCCCCAAAAAAAAGAACTTTCTAAGAAACGGAAAACACAAGAGAAACAAAACAAAATTTGCCCCCTTTCCCCCCACCAAATCTCTATAGTGTACTTTTTTTTGGGGGGGGGGGTTGGGGGTTGGGCGCTGTGGAGCTTGAACTCAAGGGTCTTGATGCTGTCCCAGAGCTTTTTTGCTCAAGGCTAGCAATCTACCACTTTGAGCCACAGTGCCGCTTCTGGTTTTCTGGTAGTTAATTGTAGATAAAGAGTCTCATGGGCTTCCTGCCCAGGTTGGCTTCCAACCATGATCATCAGATGTCAGCCTCCTGAATAGCTAGAATTACAGGTGTGAGACACTAGTGCCCAGCTAGCATACTTTCTGTAGACAGACCATCAAGCCAAGGGTCACAGGACTCAAATCCTTTGCTGTGTGCGCCTTCAAGGAAGTTATAAAGGAGTCCAGGTTGGTTTTTGTTGTTTTTTTTTTCTTCTAGTCCTGGGCCTTGAATTCAGGGCCTGGGCCCTGTCCCTGAGCTTCTTTTGCTCAAGGCTAGCATTCTATCATTTGAGCCACAGACAGCGCCACTTTTGGCTTTTTCTGTGTATTTGGTGCTGAGGAATTGAACCCAGGATTTCATGCATGTTAGGCAAGCACTCTACCACTCAGCCACATTCCCAGCCCTAGGGCCCAGGTTTTATTATACAGCAATTAGGCAGCTGTCTCCTACTCTGCTTCCTTTCCACAGACTTGATGAGCTATCAGGTCTTTTCTTGCTCTAGCATTGTAATATTTCTACAGACAAAATGACAGGTGAACACTGCAGAAATGAGCATGTCAGGAGCTGCAGTAGATACCATTTCTACTGTCAAAAGCCAACTGTGGCCAGCATCTTCCTACAGCAGCATTAATATCCAGCATCCCCCTTTTCAGGGAGCACTTTATATAAATATAAATGAAAACAGTGTATTTACAGAAGAAGATGCTCCACAAACACATTAACTCATTATATTTAAGAAAGGGAAAAAGTTACTTACTTTGAAATAGTATTGTTCATAAATAGAATTTGTAATAAAGGTCCATCTAACTTAGGGTTGTTCACCAGTATTCCACTGTAACAGAAGTTAAAATACATCCTTAGAAGATATTTAACTCAAACATTTGTGTTTGTAATATATGTCATACGCGTACAACTTTTTGTTTTGTTTTTGTGGGTCATGTGGCTTGAACTCTGGGCCTGGGCGCCGTCCCTTCGCTCTTCAGCTCAAGGTGAGCGCTCTACCATTTGAGCTACAGCGCCACTTCTGGTTTTCTAGTGGTTTATTGGAGATAAGAGTTTCACAGATTTTCCTGCCCAGGCTGGCTTTGAACCGACGGACACAACTTTTATAGTTTGTTTATATGTTGTTTTGTGCTGGTCCTGAGGCTTGAACTCATGGTCTGGAAAGCTGTCCCTCAGCTTTTTTTTTTTTTTTAATTTATTTTTGGTCCGGTTGTGGGGCCTGAATTCTGCTGTCCCTCAGCTCTTTAGCTCAAGGCTAGCGCTGTACCACTTGAGCCACAGCACCTACTTCCGGCTTTTTGTTCCTGCTTATGTGGTGCTGAGGAATCGAACCCAGGGCCTCATGCATGCAAGGCAAGCACTCTACCAATGAGCCACCTTCCCAGCCCCATGTCCCTCAGCTTTTTTGCTCAAGGCTGAGGAGATAACTACTCATGGACTTTCCTGACTGGGCTAGCTTTTAACAGTGATGTTTAGTTCTCAGTCTCCTGAACAGTCAGGATTAGACAAGAGTCACTGACATCTGACTATATACTTTATTTTAAAATTGGGGTAGGTTCTTACTATGTTGTATAAGCTGGCCAAACTCAAAATCCCTATGACTTAGCCTCCTGAGTGCTAGAATTATACAAACACATGCCACCATATCCAGTTAACTTTTATCTCATTAATTTTTCTTGTTGTTGTCTTAAAAGCAGCACTGGGTGTAAAGGGAGGCACAGAAATGGAGGGGCAAAAGGTGAACAAGTGTAGCATTGTAATTCAACATTACGTTGAAAATGAACTATACAACATGTGGGTGGGCGATGGGAGTGGAAAAATGGGAGGAGGGAAAAAATGGGAGAGCAAGGGAAGAGGTGATACTGTCCAAAAAGAAATGTACTCCTGGGGCTGGGAAGGTGGCTCAGTGGTAAAGTGCTTGCCTTGCATGCATGAGGCCCTGGGTTCGATTCCTCAGCACCACATAAGCAAAAAAGAAAAAAGCCGGAAGTGGCGCAGTGGTAGAGTGCTAGCCTTGAGCTGAAGAGCTGAGGGACAGCACCCAGGCCCAGAGTTCAAGCCCATGACTGACAAAACAACAACAACGAAAGAAATGTATTCTTTACCTGACTTACGTAGCTAACTTCTCTATATGTCACTTTTATAATAACAAAAAAAAAAAAAATAGAGGGTTTTGCACTTGCTAGGCAGATGTTGTGAGACTCTTCTCCAGCAAAAAGCCAAAAGTGGAGGTGTGGCTCAAGTGGCAGAACTCCAGCCTTGACTCAGTGGTAGAGTGCTTGCCTTGCATATATAAGGCCCTGGGTTTGATTCCTCAGCACCACATAAGCACAGAAAGCTGGAAGTGGCATTGTAGCTCAAGATGGTAGAGCACTAGCCTTGAGCTGAAGAGCTGAGGGACAGCACCCAGGCCCAGAGTTCAAGCCCATGACTGACAAAACAACAACAACGAAAGAAATGTATTCTTTACCTGACTTACGTAGCTAACTTCTCTATATGTCACTTTTATAATAACAAAAAAAAAAAAATAGAGGGTTTTGCACTTGCTAGGCAGATGTTGTGAGACTCTTCTCCAGCAAAAAGCCAAAAGTGGAGGTGTGGCTCAAGTGGCAGAACTCCAGCCTTGACTCAGTGGTAGAGTGCTTGCCTTGCATATATAAGGCCCTGGGTTTGATTCCTCAGCACCACATAAGCACAGAAAGCTGGAAGTGGCATTGTGACTCAAGTGATACAGTACTAACCTTGAGCTGAAGAGCTGAGGGACAGCGACCAGGCCTAGAGTTCAAGGCCCACAACTGACAAAAAAAAAGAACTCCAGGCTTGGGCTTTAAAAAAGCTAAGCTCTTAAATAAGTTAAGGTTCTAGGTTTAAGCCTCAGTGCTGACACACAAAAAGTGTAAACACACGTTCAGTTAGCTAGAGTCATACTATAAACTTAACTTTAAGTTCCTAGAGTTCTTTGTTGAAGAGAAAGTTCAGAACTTACCACTTCTGAACATGTAGTTAAGATTTTGCAGGTAAGTCAGTCACTAAAAGTTTAATGTACTTAAGAGAATTCAGATTTAACACCCACAAACCAAGAATAAAAGACTAACACTCTGATTTCTTCAGAATACACAGAATAAATAATAATGATACCAACATGACTATTTTACAAAGAAATTGTGATTAACTATTAATACCTGGAGAATAACAAGGACAAACTATGTTGCCATTTCAAGATTTCATACCTGGGTAGAGTCAGAACGTTCAATTTTCTTTTAAGTTCTTGATGTTATTACTTGTTAAGGAACATTACCCCCTTAAACAGTCATGCACGCAATAAAATTCAACCACTCCAACTCTCACAGCTATTAGAATTGTTATAAAAGATCCACAAATGTTTTGAGGGCAATACACTCACTGAGAACCTGTTCTGTTGCATTTGTCCTAAAAACCAAAATACAGCCGGACGCTGGTGGCTCATGCCTGTAATCCTAGCTACTCAGGAGGCTGAGATCTGAGGATCACGGTTCAAAGCCAGCCTGGGCAGGAGAGACCGTGAGACTCCAATCTCCAATAAACCACCAGAAAACCGGAAGTGGCGCTGTAGCTCAAGTGGTAGAGCGCTTGCCTTGAGCTTTCAGAGCTGAAGGACAGTGCCCAGGCCCAGAGTTCAAGCCCCACGACCGACAAAAAAAAAAACCAAAATACAGAATTTGTCACTTTTAACATATATGCTAAGATACGATTCTAAAGTTTTAAAGTCTCTAACAGATCAAACCAAAACGTTATCCAAATAACAGTGTCCTTGGTAGAAATTTACACTAATTCAGAAAACTTCCACAGGAAAGCATCGTGGTATGTAATAAAGTAAATACAGAATAAACTACTGTGAATGATCAAAGAATCTAGAGTGGAAATCTATGAATGCATCACCGTATGATACTTCCAACTTTTCCGTATTTTGAAAATTTTCATAATAGAATGTCGGGGAAAGCAGTATCATTACAACAACAACAACAAAACCAGACTTCAAAAACCTTAAGGGCTGAGGCACCGTTCAGGTGGTAAAGCTCCTGCTGAGCAATTACAAGGACCTGAGAACTGAGTTCAAACCCCACTAAGCAAACCATGCACATACAACGAAAACCCAACCCGCCTTTGTCAGCACATACACTAAAATTGGAACGATACAACGGTTCGCCTGCACAAGGACGACACGTAAACTTGTGAAGCGTTCCCTAGGAAATCTGCTAAACCAGGCACCGAAGGCCAAACGGAAACGTATTTGGCGCGTTTTTCCCACCGCACGGCAATGCTACTTAGCTCCGAGTGGCAGCACTCTCCAACAAACCCTGGCTACTCACACGGTGAACCTCTACTTTTCTGCATGCCCCCCCCCCCAAGACCCGCCGGGACTCTGATCCCAGGACCCGCATCTCAGCCCGGTGACCGGGCTCTAAGTACCAGGTTACCTCCCAAGCCACCACCCGACCAACTGGAACATCAAATGATCGAGAGAGCCCCGAGGTCTCACGGAAGCGAGCGAGCGGGCTGGGGATCCGCTACCCGGCAAACAGCCGTGCAATTCACGATCACCCCGAGTGCCGGCGCGCAGCGGGCCGGAGCCGCGGCGAGGCGCGCGGGGCAGCCGCCGGCCCAGGCCGGCCCGAGGCCGCGGCGCGGGCGCCCGCCGCCGCCGCCCCCGGAGGAACTACGTGGAGTTCTGGCCTCCCCGCCGCGCCCCCGCCGGCCCCCGCAGGCCCGTGACAGGCCTCCGGGCCGGAAGGATATTCTCGGCGCGGAGTCGCTCGATGGTCTCCTCGCACTGCCGGAGCCGCTCCCGCAGCGCCGCGTCGCCCACCCCGTGCTCGTCCTCCACGTCGCCATCGTCCTCCTTGAAGTGAGTGTGAACCGGCTTGGGAGTCGACTCCTTCTGAGGGTCAAATGCCTCGAACAGCTCTAGGTCGCCGAAATCCACCTCCGCCGCCATCTTGAGTGGTGGAAAAGATTGGAGAAGCGGCGGAGCTGGCCACCCGGGTCTCGGGGCGAAGGTATGAGGGCGGTTCCGCTCTCCGGCCTAGCTTACCTCTGCGTTGGCTTTTCTCTCAACGCAGGCCGCCAAAGCCGTACAAGGGGCGGGGCCGGTCCCGGGAGACTACAACTCCCAGAATGCAACGGCGCCCCCTCCATGACCACTACTACAGAGTTTGCCGGGGAGCGGAGGCATGCTGGGACCTGTAGTTTCTAGGCCACTGTTACCTCATTGTGGGCATTGTATACTGGGATTGATGCTGAAGAAAGCCTGTCTGGATCAGAATGAGTTAGGACAATATGAGTTGTCAATATGGCATCTAAGACTTGAGCGAGCCACCACGCATGGCTGATCAGATTTTGTGTGCTCGCCAAATGCCAGGTTTGCCACAGACTACATTAGTGGTCTTAGACAAGCTAGTTTGTTGGGCTTTTTTTACTTTAGAAGTAGCTTGGTCATTAGGGTATATTATGTGGTTTCTCTCATTCTAAATATGCTTTCACTGACGTTTACCACCTGCAATATGTCAAGCATATCTCTAAAGACCTGAGGATGCCAAGAGTAAGAAAACTTTGTTCTTACAAAGTCAAGCAAAATGTGAGAAATCTGTCCTTTCTATCAGAATGTGTTGCTTAAAAAGTCCTGCTTGGCTCTTGCAAAGGAAAAGAATTGCCTCGGATAAGGAAGGATTCCTAAAAGGTTTTGTCTTAAAAACTGGTTTCTGGGGTAGGGAATGTGGCTCAGTGGTAGAGTGCTTGCCTTGCATGCATGAGGTCCTGGGTTCAATTCCTTATCACCCCACATAAGCAGGAAAAGCCGGAAGTGGTGCTGTAGCTCAAATGGTAGAGTGCTGAAGAGCTTTGAGCTGAAGAGCTGAGGGACAGCGCCCAGGCCCAGAGTTCAGGCCCCACCACCACCACCACCAACAAAAAAACACAACAACAACAAAAAAAAAACGGTTTCTTTTCAGGATGGGATTAGGACACACTCTAGACTGTTCAAGAAACAGTACAAGGTGTGGGTATATTTTGAGTTTGCAGTAAATCTTATTTCAAGATCACCTTATGTAAATACATTTTACCCTATTTAAACTGGATAATTGGGAGCAGACTATGAACCTGAGCTCAACCATTCTGAGCAGAGGGGTAGGGCCTGCTGTGTTAGGAATCTCAGCCACTGCCTGCTGGATGTATTGTACTTGCTTGCCTGATATTGGACTAATGGCACACCCTTCTGTACAAATAAATTTTGCCTTGCTGAGACTATTTTTTTTTTTTGGGTCCGGTTGTGGGGCCTGAACTCTGGGCCTGGGCGCTGTCCCTCAGCTCTTCAGCTCAAGGCTAGCGCTCTACCACTTGAGCCACTGCGCCACTTCCAGCTTTTTTCTTTTTGCTTATGTGGTGCTGACGAATTGAACCCGGGGCCTCGAGCATGCAAGGCAAGTGCTCTACCACTGATCCATCTTCCCAGCCCTTGCTGAGACTATTCTTGATTTTTATGTCTATCCAATGGTTTTTGGACAGCATGTTTATAACAACAGAGAATCCACAATTACAGATGTGTTTTTTTGAGATCTGGTCATCGTGAAGCACTGTTTATCATTATCTTTGTTGGGAAACAAAAGCAGCTACAAAGGTGCTGTAACCCAACAAAAAAAAGTCACCAAATTCTTTTATTAAAAGCTCTTTTCGGACGTGTAGAGAATCCTGGAGCCGGGCTCTGAGATCAGGAAATAGTTAAGAGATTGGAATGCCACCTGATCAGTACTCAGAAGGTTGAGAACTGGACTCTGGAAAGGTCAAACAGGCAAGACAAATGTGTAAGTTACAATTAACTGGACCCTAAGTTGCTTCAGTTAGAGCTGTTTGGATCCTATAAAACTTGAAACTTTGGGGATAAGATGAATGTTTGTATATGGTTAAATTTACCACTCCCCTCTGCTCCCTAACAATAAAGGAGTCAATTATCACTATGTATACAAACTATACCTCATGTTAATAGTTGTAACAAGATACCCTATTTTCTGCACTTACCTGTGTAGTTACCTCCCCTGTACTGAACTAAAAAAAAAGTTCTTGGGGTTTAGAAGCCAGTGAGCCATAGTCTCCCTGGTACCCAATTATCTATTCTTTTTCTCATTTCTTCAGCTCCAGTATATCCTTGTGCTGTCCCCAGTTGCTGTTAGCAACAAGGCTGGGTGCTGGTGGCTCACACCTTGATCCTAGCTACTCAGGAGGCTGAGATCTGAGGATCATGGTTCAAAGCCAGCCCAGGCAGGAAAGTCCATGACTCTTTATCTCCAATTAACCACCAAAAAAACCCCAAGTGGAGGGCCTGGGAAGGTGGCTCAGTGGTAGAACGCTTGCCTTGCATGCCTGAGGCCCTGCGTTTGATTCCTCAGCACCACATAAGCAAAAAAGAAAAAAGCCAGAAGTGGCGCTGTGGCTCAATGTGGTGGAGTGCTAGCCTTGAGCTCAAGGACAATGCCCAGGCACCAAGTTCAAGCCCTATAATCAACCCCCCCAAAAAAAGTCTTTCAGGGTTGTAGACATGGTGGTAAAGCTTCAGCCAATGAGTGGTAGTATCAGATCAGAATCAGAAGGAAACAAGGGGAAAAATACAACAGAGGGGCCCATCAGCTGTACTGGACATTGATGAAAATGAACTAAGCAACTCAAGGGCAGCGATAGGAGGGAAGGAGAGGAAAAGAGGGGACAGCTTACACTAAGCAAAACGAATGTAAATGCCACCCAACACAGAAGAAATAGTTGTATCATCAAAGCTTGTAGAATTCACAAACTTTATAGACTAAGATGACAAGTTGCCTTTTGAAAGTTAAAATGTGTTTATGACTAAGTATCACTATTTTTTTTTAAGTTTAAATACAAGTTTCTGACAAAACCACCCCCCACCCCAACCCTCAAAAAAGTGCTACTTTTTTTTTTTTTTGTCAGTTGTGGGCCTGAACTCCGGGCCTTGGTTCTGTCTCTCAGTTCTTCAGCTCAAGGCTAGTGCTCTACCACTTGAGCCACAGCGCCACTCCTGGCTTTTTCTGTGTATGTGGTGCTGAGGAATTGAACCCAGGGCCTCATGCATGCATGCAAGACAAGCACTCTACCACTGAGCCACCTTCCAAGCCCTTTTTCTTTTTTTAAATTAACAGCTTTATCCTGGCATCCAAACTAGCGATTATTGTATGGTAAATAATAAGTATTCATTGAAAGGAAAAGAAGATAAAATGAGCCAGGTGCTGGTGGCTCACACTTGTAACCCTACTCAGGTTGAGATCTGAGAATCAGTGTGAAGCCAGCCCATGCAGTAAAGTATGAGACTCTAATCTCCAACTGACCACCCCCAAACTAGAATTGGAGCCATGGTTCACAGTGGTAGACCATTAGCCTTGAGCAAAAGTGCTCACGGACAGCACCCAGGTCCTGAGTTTAAGCCCCAGACTCCCAGGGTGGGCCAGGAGGGTGGAAATGAAGCCTTAAAAAAAAAAAAAATTAAAGGTAGGGGCTGGGAAGGTGGTTCAGTGGTAGAGCACTTGCCTTGCATGCATGAGGCCCTGGGTTTGATTCCTCAGCACCACATAAGCAAAAAGAAAAAAGCCGGAAGTGGCGCTGTGGCTCAAGTGGTAGAGCACTAGCCTTGAGCTGAAGAGCTGAGGGACAGCACCCAGGCCGAGTTCAGGCCTCATGACTGACAACAAAACAAGAACGAAACAACAGCAACAAAAAACTCCACTGGTTGAAGATCAGATTTTTTTTGGATGTATTTTGCTTAGACATTTATTGGTATATTGAAGCAAAGTCTGGAGGCCCTAGTGGAAATGTTGGAAAGCTGGGTTTTTTCATTTTTTTTAAAGAAAAGATCTGATCTAAAGATGAACATTTGTCTGGCTCAGATTTTGTTAGCTGTAACAAAAATTGTGAGAGGATGACACTGCACAATGAATAACAAGGAAGAAAGAAATCTCATGACACACTTCTGGGTTGAGGATGAGACAACCAAGAAACCCATGTACTGGATGGGCTAACTATGGATCCCACTTGTATTAGTAAACATATAGACTTTGGCCTAAGAAATGAATTACTTCTACTTGGTGCTGAAGCATGAAACAATCTCACATGTAACTCCATTTTCTTTTGCAGAGCCTTGTGCTCATTTAGCTTTCTTTCTTTGTTGGTCGTGGGGTTTGAACTCTGGGCTTGGGCACTGTCCCTGCGCTCTTCAGCTCAAGGCAAGCGCTCTACCACTTGAGCCACAATGCCTGTTTTCTAGTGGTTTATTGTAGGTAAGTCTTATACTTTCTTGCCCAGGTGGGCTTTGAACCATGATCCTCAGATCTCAGCTTCCTGGGTAGCTAGGATTTACAGGGGTGAGTCACAGGCACCCAGCTTGTTTAGCTTTCTTTCAAGACTGATCTTCTACTATTTAAGTCTCACCTACATTTCTAGCTCTGTTAATTGGAGATAAAATAGTGTGGGTAACCTTGATCCTCAGATCTTAGCCTCTTAAGATTACAGATGTATGGGGCTGGAAAGATGGCTCAGTGGTAGAACACTTGCCTTGCATGCATGAGGCCCTGGGTTCAATTCCTCAGCACCACATAAACAGAAAAAAAAAAAAAAAAGATTACAGATGTAAGCCACAAGTGCCTGGCTTCACCTTTGTTTTCTGAGGGCATCTATGTAATCCAGCTGGCCTTGAATTCAGGATTGTTTCAGATTTCTATGTGATGGGATTTAAAGGCCTGGATAATCACATACAAGTATAATGCCCATGTGAATTTTAAGTGTCAACTACAGTGGTTCAAACCCAGCCTGGGCTGTATAGTAAATTTTAAGCTAGCCTGTCTTCACAGCTCCTAGGCAACCCAGGCAGAAAAGTCCAGTGGACTCCATTTGCAGTGGCATGAGCCTGCCATTTCCGCAATAACAAGAAACCCAAAGAGTTCACCAGTGGGTTCTTTATCTCAAAGGAAGGCTAGAGACATGCTCAGCAGTACAACGTGTGCTTAGCAAACACCAGTCCCTGAGTTAAAATCTCAGTACAACACAACACAAAAAAGAGGCGGGAGTAGAAGGGTGGTGGTGGTGGGTGGGTGGACACACACACACACCCAGCATGTCTGTGTTGCACTGTTCTTCCTAGGCTGTGATGTTCTCCACTTTATTTAAGGGTAAACTAGAACATCACTATTTGGTTGTAATGAGAGTGAATTAAGTTTACTTCTCTCATCCCCACATCTAGGCCCTTTTTAACTTGATGACAATTTTTTTCTAATATTTCAGTTAAGATAATGCTGGAAAAGATTTCAACAGATAATGAGCAAAGGGCATACAAAGGACTTGTTATTATAAGGCACTTTATTAAAATAAAAGTGCTTACATCCCTTAAATGCATTAATCTATTTCCTGAATAACATGGAATAATGAACAAATACTATACACCAATTCTCTTATAATAGTAGGAAAACAGTGTTTTAATAAATTTGTTTGCTCCTTTTTCTTTTACATTTTTTTGCTCACCATGGTATTGCCTATAGCATAACTAATTAAAAAAAAATTCTAGCCAGTGTTTTGTAATTGCAATTGCAAAATGCTACAGAAACTAAAATTCAAACAAGAATGCCAGGTTAACTTAAATTTACACCAGTTTTGAGAAAACCATTTTTATTATCATCATCACCCAGCTTATTTGTGCTGGATTATGTACCAAATGGCCAGATCTTCTATAAAGAACATCTACATAACATTTCTTTCATGTTTTCAAGAGATGAAAATAACTGTACAAGGTTAAGTACAAAAGTACACAAGACAGCGGACACGAAAAAAATCTATGTATGAGACAGACTTTATCCCACCTGCAGCTTCAACATATTTGAAAAGTAGAATTCATGAACTAAAAAATATTGTCCTTCTATAGTCCTGTCAAGTTTAATGGAAGTGGGTTTAACCTGATTACAACACTAACACCAGTATCACTGATCTGATATTTACAAAATATCATATTTTTCAATAAATTAAAGTCAATGCAACACCCATGCAAGCTAGAATGCTAGCTGTTTGGTGAACAAGGACCTGGCATCAGAACAAGTCTTTCAGGTCCCAAACTTGCCAAGCGTGACATTTCTCAGACCGCATCCATTCCTCTCATCGAAGATGTGAAACCCAAACCCATCCCTCTCTGTGTGTGGGTTTGTGATCTTGCCATCTCATACTGAGCATCAAGATTTCGAAACACTTCTTCTTGTTGCTTCAATGTCTTATAACTGTCTTCATCAACCGAGCTGCATCCAGCTTCATCTTCACTCTAAATGTCAGACAGTAAGACATTAGAATGAATGGTACACTAAGTGATTTTCAATTAAACAGTATTGATGTTACTGATTCTTGGAGTATTGTTAAATCACATTTTCAAGATATATATAAAATGAACTACATGTAAGCCTCCATATACACCATAAAAAAAGTAGAAATCAGAACAGAAGTGTTTCAGGGATGGTAGAAGATGCGGGAGGGGTGACACTTCCAAGAAATGCATTTAATACCTGACTTATGTAACTTTAACCCCTCTACACATCACCTTTGCACTTAAGTCATGCCTTTTACTTTCTTCTTAGCCCTCCCTACACTGAGAATAAGAGTAGGATAATAGAAAACGCAAATAGACATGGGCTTGTTAAAGGAATAGCAGGCTTAGTGAAGCTTAGTTATAGCCTATTATTTGCTCAATAAAAGCAATCCTCTTATTACTAGTAACCTAAGTGTAAGCAAAGGGTAGTATATACTAAAGTTAATTTTCTGTACACTTAAATAGTTCAATAAAAACATAGTATCTCACAACCTAAGAGAAGCCAGTAATCTCACACAAGATTCACCCAGGAAACCATGTGTTGGGCGAGACACACCCAAAATCCCAGTACTATACAGGCTGAGACAGTGAGTTCAAGGTCAACCTAGGCTATATAGTGAACTTGGAGCTAGCCTGAGCTGCACGTGGTAAAATTCACTCAGGAAAAACAAACTCAGTCCAGACACAAACTCAGTAATGATCAATTAAAAAACATGCTTATTTAAACTGAAAGTATACCAAACAGTTAAGGACTATAAGCTTTAGCTAAAAAACCTATGAATTAGTCAGGTGCTGGTGGCTCAAATCTATCACCCTAACTACTCCAGGAGGCTGAGATCTGAGGAATGTGGTTTAAAGCCCCAGCAGAAAAGTGTGAGATTCTTTTTTTTTTTTTTTGGTTGGCCGTGGGGCTTGAACTCTGGGCCTGGGTGCTGTCCCTCAGCTCTTCAGCTCAAGGCGAGCGCTCTACCACTTGAGCTACAGCACCACTTCCGGTATTCTGGTGGTTTATTGGAGATAGGAGTCTCACGGTCTCTCCTGCCCGGGCTGGCTTTGAACCGAGATCCTCAGATCTCAGCCTCCTGAGTAGCTAGGATTACAGGCGTGAGCCACCAGCGCCCACCAGCGCCCGGCTAAGTGTGAGATTCTTATCTCAATAAACCAAAAAGCCAGAAGTGGCCCAAGTAGTAGAGCATTAGCTTTGAGCAAAAGCAGCTCAGGGACAGGCCAAAATTCAAGCCCTAGAACTAGTGTGTGTACACATACGGACAGACACAGAGACATGTAGCTAGGCACCCAGATGCTCACAAGCAGGACATAAAAGTTCTGATTCACAGCTGGGTGCAGGTGGCTCACACCTGTAAGCCTAGCTACTCAGGAGGCTGAGACCTGAGGATCGTGGCTCAAAGCCAACATGGGCAGGAAAGTCTGTGAGACTTTATCTCCCATTAACCACAGAAAACTGGAAGTGGTGCTGTGGCTGAAGATGAAGAGTACTTGCTTTTAGTTGAAGAGCTAAGGGACAGTACCTAGGCCCAGTGTTCAAAAGTCCCATGGTTTGAAGCCAGCACTTTTTGTTGTTGTTGGTCGTGGGGCTTGAACTCTGGGCCTGGGTGCTATCCCTGCGCTCTTCAGCTCAAGGTGAGCGCTCTACCATTTGAGCTACAGTGCCACTTCCGGTTTTCTAGCGGTTTATAAAGGACTTTCCTGCCTGGGCTGGCTTGGAACCGTGATCCTCAGATCTCAGCCTCTTGAGTTGCTAGGATTACAGGCGTGAGCCACAGGCACTCCGCAAAGCCAGCACTCCTATCTTCAATTATCTACCAGAAAACTAGAAGTGGCACTGTGGCTCCACTAGTGCTCTACTACTTGAAGTCAGGGACAGCACCCAGGAATGAGTTCAAGTTTCAGGACTAGCATCAAAAAAGCAACAATAGCAAAAATCTGGAGAACAAATAGCAAAGTACGAGAAAATATAATACTAATCATTACTTTTAGGTTGAAAAGTAATGTTGCTATAAAAATAGTTCATATCAATCTTAACAAAGTGTAACTTACCTTAATACCCATTAATTTCCTAAATTTGACATTTTGGTCCTTGTTTCCAAAATTCAACTTCTCCCATATTTCAGCAGACTGGGATTTGTCCTGTTAAGAAGCATTAATTTTAAAATACTAAAGAATTTAAGGGCTGGGGAGGTGGCTCAGTGGTAGAGTGCTTGCCTTACATGCATGAGGCCCTGGGTTCAATTCCTCAGCACCACATTAGCAGAAGAAGCCGAAAGTGGCACTGTGGCTCAGGTAGCAGAGTGCTTGTCTTGAGCTGAAGAGCTGAGGGACAGCACCCAGTCCTAGAGTTCAGGCTCCATGACCGACCCTACCGCGCCCCCCGACCCCCACCAAAGAATTTAAATACTTTTCAGAATTCCCCACAACACAGTGAAAGAATCATTTATAACATGCTTAAAGAAATATTTAATGGCAGTCCTAGGGCTTGAATTCAGGGCCTTGTGTTTTCCAGGCTCTACCACTTCAACACATACCCTGCCCTTTCTACTTATTTACTTTTGGATAGATTTGGACAGTGTCTGTCATTTTTGTCCAGGGCCAGCTTTGGATGTTGATCCAATCACTTATCCTTCTAAGAGACCCGAAATTACAGACAAGTACTGCCACACCAGGCTATTGGTTGAGATGGGTCTTGCTAACTTCGCTTGCCCAAGATGGATTTGAATGGGGATATTATTTCTGATCTGCCTAGCTGGCCCACATTTATGGCATATTCTCTTGTAGCTCAGGGTAGAGCACTTCCATTGTTACATGCAAGGACTCGGTTTGATTTCTGACATTTAACAAAAGATAAAAAGAACTTACCCCTTCTTTCTTGCCTTGCCAAAGCATTTTCCTTTTTTTCTCTTGCTCAGCAAATTTCATCGGGTTCACAGCGGCTGGGTTGTAATAGCTGGGCACAGCGATTCCTGTTTCTGCCAGTGCTTTTGCTTGTAGGGCTGCCATCTGAGCTGCCATCGCAATCTGAGGAGTCACTTGTGTCCCTGATGCCAAGAGGGCAGCAACGTTGAGAACAGAACCTCCTGTGGCTGCGGCGGCTGAAGATGACGGAAGCATGGGTTGATAAAGACACAAACTTCCTAGTTTAAAACCAAAATAGAACGCTTACAAGATTTCTGACTCTATTTTAACTGCACATGGTGCTTATGGTGCCTGTCACATGGAGATTCCCTCCACACCAGGGCTTAAAAAATTCAGAGCCCTCTTCTCTCTTGCTTGCTTGTTCACAGACCTGGAGCCCTACAACTTGAGCCACAACTCTAGCCTAGCCTTTGGTTGGGTGTTCTAGAGATGGAGTCTTATGGAGCATCTTGCATGGTGTGGCTTTGAACCTCAATCCTCTGGATCTTGGTCTATAGAGCAGCTAGGACTTACAGACTTGAGCACTTTCATTTTTTTTTCTTTTTTTTTGTCGGTCGTGGGGCTTGAACTCTGGGCCTGGGTGCTGTCCCTCAGCTCAAGGCTAGGGCTCTACTACTTGAGCTATAGTGTCACTTTCGGTTTTCTAGTGGTTAATTGGAGATAAGTGTCTCACAGAGTTTTCTGCCCAGCTGGCTTTGAACCATGATCCTCAGATCTCAGCCTCCTCAGTAGCTAGGATTACAGGTGTGAGCCACCAGCACCTGGGCTTGAGCACTTTCTTAATTACATTTCATATGAAACCAAGTTCTAGGTGACAATCTTCCTCCATCCATGTTTGTGTTGTTGAAAAATTCAAATTCTTTGTTTTTAAAAATACTGATTTGGCAGACACCAGTAGTTCACACTATTCAGGGAGCTGAGATCTGGGGAGCACAGTTCAAAGCCAAGACAGACAATGAAGTCAGAGAGACTCATCTCTAATTATTTCCAAAAAACTGGAAATAGAGCTGTAGCTCAAAGTGCTATGAGCAAAAGAACATCAAGAGTGCTCAGATCCTGCTCTCAAGCCTCAGGACTGACAAAACCAACGAACTAACAACCAACCAGAGTGGCGCTGTCCCTCAGCTCTTCAGCTCAAGGCTAGCGCTCTACCACTTGAGCCACAGCGCCACTTCTGGCTTTTTTCTTTTTGCTTATGTGGTGCTGAGGAATCGAACCCAGGGCATCAGGATTGCAAAGCAAGCGCTCTACCACTGAGCCACCTTCCCAGCCCCTGGTCTTCTTTTTATATTTTAAATATTGAGGGTACAGTTATGTGTCACTATACCCAGCCAAAAACCCCAAATTCTTAAAATTCAGCACAAGAGGACAGAAGTGTTTTATCAACTGCCAAGGATTCACTTGCCATAAAAACATCTGCATAAGTTAAATATAAAAATACATAAAAGGATTGGAGCTTGGCAGACCTAAGGTTCTGGGTTCTATCCATAGCAAAAAAAAAAAAAAAAAGCATCAGCAGTTCATGATGTAAAACAATGTTTACAAAACTGGATTAATAAAGAGGAGTGTTTTTTGTTTTTAAAAATTTATTTCCTTCATTCCTTCCCCTTTTTCTCTTTCCCTCTCTTTGCCTGGGTAGTGTCCCTCAGCTTTTGCTGAGGCTAGCACTATTTACCACTTGAGCCACAGTACCACTTCCAGCTTTTTCTGTGTATGTGGTACTGAGGAACAGAACCCAGGGCTTTATGCATGCTAGGCAAGCACTCTACCACTAAGCAACATTTCCAGCTCTAACACCCCACATCCATCATCATAAATACCTGCAGCAATTTCTTGTTGTTTTTGTTTTTCAACCATTTCCTTTTCTCTCTGTTCTTGTAACTTCTTTGCCCTTTCCAATCTGTCAAAGACAATTTAAGTAAATTTAAAGTAACAATATAAAACCTGCATGTATCATTATACTTGTAAGGAGACAATACAATTTTTAAGTTGTAAATGTTTAACAGGCTCCTACCAAATTATTGAAATGAGAAAACAATCAGTTGAAAGAACATTTCAATACTGTTTTTATGTTATCTATTGGGAACTCACTGTTGTTCTGGCTGGATTATATCTATTGAAACCTTGCATTAAAACAAGAACCAAACACCAAGACCATAAAATAGCAATCAAAATAAGTCATTCTTTATAATCTTAATGGCATGAGGATGAGGGTGAGCAGTTGGAACTGCATTAGAATTATTTTAGCAAGTGAAGAAATTAATCATTAGCAAAGGACCTAACACAATATAAATTCATCCTCAAATTAAATAAAAATGAATTCTATCACACATCAGTAAATACACATATCCAGTACATTTGTCCACTTTATCTACCTTAAAACACACAGTAACTAACAGCTTTGTAATCAATTCCTGAAAGAGAAATCTCTTTTCTTCACACAGATTCCTTGGTTACCAATCATAAATAAATGCTGTCCTTCCTCCTTAATGTGGTACAAAGAGGTAGAATTGGGGAAGAAGTTATTGTTATATTTTAGGGACACATGTGTAATAAATAACAGTAATAAGTGTCATTTAACAGCTGCTTAGATTTATGTGAAGATACATTTTAATAAACGATAATCTTACTCCTCTCATCGAGCACATATTCAGGAAACAAACATAGTATAATCTCGGTTGCTCTCAAGAATCAAAGTTTTATTTTCTTCTTTTATTCCTGTCCTGGGGCTTGAAACTCAGGGTCTGGGTGCTGTCCCCGAGGCTCCCTGAGGTGTATAACTCTATGACTTGAGCCACAGCTCTACTTCTAGCTTTTTTTTTTTGGGGGGGGGGGTAAATCAATTAGAGATAAGAGTCTTAAGGACTTTCCTGCTGCCTGGGCTGGCTTTGAACCATGATCCTCAGATCTCAGCCTCCTGAGTAGCAAGGATCGCAGGAAAGAGATACCAAGGCCCAGTTAAGAATGAAAGTTTTTGATTAGGGTAATAGTGAAATAGAAACAGTGAAATAGAAACAGCTTTTTAAATTGACAACTAAAAACAAGAGCAAAGAAAAAAAATTCTTAACACAACAAAGTTTCTTTTTTTTTTTTTGGGTCCGGTCGTGGGGCCTGAACCCTGGGCCTGGGCGCTGTCCCTCAGCTCTTCAGCTCAAGGCTAGCGCTCTACCACTTGAGCCACAGCGCCACTTCCGGCTTTTTTCTTATGTGGTGCTGAGGAATCGAACCCAGGGCCTCAGGCATGCAAGGCAAGCGCAATACCACTGAGCCACCTTCCCAGCCCCAACAAAGTTTCTTATTAACAAAATAACTCCCTTTAAATTTTGAGGATGCTAAGGAATAATCTTGCATTTGGAAATTAGTGGATTTTGTGTAGTTGTCCCACCTGAATGATCAATTAAGTAATCTAGGTCAAAACGTTTTAGTAGTAACTACTCCAACTTTAAACTCCAGAATGAAAACATAATTAATGGTATATAAGAGTAAATTTGGGTCCCAGAAAATACTTGCTAGCAAACCATTTAGTATAAATCAGTCAGATTTTGTAGTAAGTCACTTTCTGTGTTGATTTTAGTGTCAGAAACAAAATATAAGCGACTAGTATGGGTTGCATTAAACTGGCCATTGCAGGTTTGCACTAACACCATTCACTAAAGTGAATGGAATGAAGAGGGGTGAGCTCACACCTTTGCTGCTGCTGTTCAGCTTGAATTTCTGCCAGGCTGGGTTCACAGGGCAGCAGCATACCAGGTTACATTGTGATAACTGTATTTTTATAATGAAAAAAAATACAAACTCAATTTCTTAAAGAAAAAAACCCCAAATCCAAAGAATTTAAATTTCAGAATATGTGAAAAACTGCAAACAAGCACTTGGAGTTTACTTCATTTCCTGTTTCCTTTGAGGCAGCTCTTTGAATTAGTTTACAGATAATATTCAGACAACTGTGCTGTACGTGGTCTCATAACCACTTGTTCCTAAACAGTAGAAAATTTAAGAAATCTTTTCCCTATGGTAGATAACAACTTGGTTTTAATGTATCTATCAGCTGCCACTTTAAAAAGCAACCTATTGATGAACCCAAGTGTTTCAGGTAATTTTCCTTTCTTGAAGAGAAAGAAACCATAAAGCAAAGTTATCTTAACAGCAAGAGTCAAGAACTCAAAGTTTCAAATGAAAACAAAAAAGTATATGAAAGTCTTCCAAACTTCTGGTTAAAACCAGTTAATCATGATGGCAAAAATCTTATCCTAGTTATCAAATAAGTGAGTGTGCAAAGATTTTAAACTGGGCTAGGGGACGTGGCTTGCAAATGTGAGGCCCAGTCCAAACCCATTATTGCCAAGAGAAAACAAACAAAAAACCCTATAAACTATATAGCTCCACATTTACAAAGATGCTATAGTACCTATGATTAGATCATGTGAATTATCCAATGATTTAAGAGCACTAATTTAATCATGTAACTGAGTATTATTGAAAAGGAGAAAATGAAGTAAACAAAAAATGTACATACCTCCGAGCTAATGCTTCTTGTGCATCCATTGCTGTGTTTCTGCCTCTGAAGGGAGGTGGACTAGGAGTCCGGCTTAAACTCCTGCTGAATCTTCTCGGCTTTTCAATTCTCTTTTTCCTATCTCTGCAATGAATAGTATTTTACATGTTTCATATGGCCGAACAAAACAGAAATCAAATAAAAACAAAGTCTAAGACTAGACTTAAGAGATGATTCCTTTCGTAAGTCAATGAGGAATGACAGGGGATGCATTTTTAAACTACAATGAATTTGTATTGTTTTAGAAAATGCCAAGTTATGAATTACTAAAACATAAGAATTGGGCTGGGAAGGTGGCTCAGTGGTAGAGCGCTTGCTTTGCATGCATGAGGCCCTGGGTTTGATTCCTCAGCACCACATAAACAAAAGTGGCTCATGTGGTAGGTAGAGCGCTAGCCTTGAGCTGAAGGGCTGAGGGACAGCGCCCAGGCCCAGAGTTCAGGCCCCACGACTGGACCTCCCCCACAAAAAAACAAAAAACAAACAAACAAAAAACAACATAAGAATGAACAAAGTGGGGGAAAAAGTTACTCCCCCCAAGTAAAAATTATCATAGCAAAATCCGGGAACGTCATTATAAACAGAAATGCTCAAGAAATAATTAATGATTACCTCCCTTCACCTCCAATTCACTCTTTCAGAATTGGAAAAGTTCAAAATAATATACTACAGACTAAACCAATGAGTTAAGATTATTAACTCTAACTAACCAATCACCAAAAATATAGAAATGGAACTGTGACTCAAGTAATGAGAGTGGTAGCCTCCACCAAAGCAGGTTGGTAGCTAGGCCCTGAGTTCAAGTCCGAGGACAACCCTCACACAAGTTCAAACAAATGATTAAAAAAAGAGTTTTGTGTCTTTTTTTAACTTCTTTTTCAGTTTATTTTTGGTGCTACTGAGGCTGGGATTACACCACGGTCTTACACTTGCGATGAAGGTGCTCTACCAACCTGACCAAGAACCCCATCCCTTTTGCTTTTTTTTTGTTTTGTCGGTTGTGGGGCTTGAACTCTGGCTTGGGCACTGACCCTCACCTCTTCAGCTCAAGGCAAGCGCTCTACGGCTTGAGTCACAGCGCCATTTCCAGTTTCGAGTGGTTCACTGGAGTTAAGAGTCTCACAGACTTTCCTGCCCGTGCTGCTTTGAATCGTGATCCTCAGATCTCAGCCTCCTGAGTAGCTAGGAGTATAGGCATGAGCCACCAGCGCCTGGCTTTTTTTTAATTAGGGACTCCCTTTTGAAATAGAACTCTGGAATTTCTCTGCCCTGGCTGTCTTCAAACCTCAATCCTCAGATCTTAGTCCCCTGAGTAGCTAGAATTACAAGTGTGAGCCACTACCACCCAGCTTATTTCAATTCTTCATAGGTAAGTTACTTATTAGTTTCTTTAACTCTAGTGGACTAAATGCACAATGGCTCCTTTGAGAATTAGTTGAGATTATACATACAGTTTTGGCACATACCACACACTGGCCATCCAATGATTAATTCGTAAATACATTTTTATCCACTGAATCTAAGCTTCCTAAGTATCTAGGATTACAGGTATGAATCTCTGGTGCTCAACTCAGAGAAATGTATTTTAATAGAATTATTAAAGTACTGACTCTAAGTTATATCTTAGGGCTTGTTTTTACTGATGAAACTGAAGTTATAAACATTTTGTTTAATCTGTAAATAAAACTGTGCTTTACAATTCTGGTATTCTCAAACTGATGGAAGATGCACTCTTTGAGTGACCTATCAGATTTTATTCAGATTATCATGTTACTTACCGACTTCTACTCCTTGTCCTGCTCCTGCTTCTAGTCCTATGCCTATGTCTTGATCTTGAGCGGGAACGGGATCTGATCCGTCGTTTTCTTTCCCTGCTTCTGGACCGAGACTTCTTTCTTTCCCTGCTTCTGGACCGAGACTTCTTTCTCTCTCTGCTTCTGGACCGAGACTTCTTCCGCTCTCTGCTTCTACTACGATGGCGCCTAAAATTTAAATGCACAACCTTAGTTTTCTTTTCCTTTTTTTTTTGTGACAAGGTCCAAAACATTAATCCCAGGCCAATTTAAAATTTCATCCAACCATTTACATTTGTGCTTTACAATACTATACATTGAATGAATCTGACATTACAAATATATTGCCCACAGAATTCTCCAAAAAAAGGTTGAATACTGGTTTCTTTTTTTTTTCTGCCAGTTCTGGGTCTTGACCTCTGAGGTGCCTGGGTGCTGTCTCTGGGCTTCTTTTGATCAAGGCAAGCATTCTACCACTTGAGCCACAGCACCACTTCTGGTTTTTTCTGTGATTAATTGGAGATTAGAGTCTCATGGACTTTCCTGCCTGGGCTGGCTTCAAACCTTTGTCTTCAGATCTCAGCCTACTGGTAGCTAAGATTATAGGCTTAAGTCCCTGGCATCTAGCAAATATTGGTTTCTTTTTTTTTTTTGTTAGTCATGGGGTTTGAACTCTGGGCCTGAGTGCTGTCCCTCAGCTCTTCAGCTCAAGGCTAGTATTCTACCACTTGAGCCACTTCTGGATTTCTGGTGGCTTATTGAAGCGTTTCACGCTTTTCCTGCCAGGGCTAGCTTTGAACGGAAATCCTCAGATCTGAGCCTCCTGAGTAGCTAGGATTACAGGCGTGAGTGAGCGACCAGCACCCGGCTGAATACTGCTTTCTTTTAGTGTAAGTACATATATATGTCAGTACTGAGGCCTAAATTTGCCTTTTTCCCCTCTCACAACTGTTGTTCTACCACTTGAGTGACATTTCTACTTCCAACTTTTTACTGGTTAATGAAGCTAAGTATCTCATGATCTTTTCTGCCTGAGCTGGCTTCAAACAAAGATCCTCAAATGTCAGCCTCCTAAGAGGTTAGGATTACAGGCATGAGCCGTTGGCAAACAGCGAACAATAGTTTCTAAAAACAAAACCCCACTGAACTAGGATCATGAACTAGTTTCTCAAAAACCTTTCTAAAAAATCTGCAAGAAAACCTAGATAGGAGCCGGGTGCTGGTGGCTCACGCCTGTAATCCTAGCTACTCAGGAGGCTGAGATCTGAGGATCAAGGTTCAAAGCCAGCCCGGGCAAGAAAGACCGTGAGACTCCTATCTCCAATAAACCACCAGAAAACCGGAAGTGGCGCTGTAGCTCAAGTGGTAGAGCACTCGCCTTGAGCTGAAGAGCT